GTTAATATGTTTGGCAAATCATTCAACATAAATCATTTTGAATAAGGTGGTTGCTACGGGGGTAAACGCACACATTCCATATCAAATTTAAAAGCTTTGATGGACCGTTAAATGTGTAATACCGCGGAGCTCAGCTGAGAGCGAAACGTGAAGTTGTGGCTTCGTAAACTTTACATCAACATTTACAACAGCTACAGTGATTTTAGGCACAGAAGTTATTCAATTACCTCATCTTTCATTCCTCACGCGACCCTTCAAAATTCATTCTTGGTGACAGGCGAGCGTGTTACGTCTGTTCCTGTGTAAGATACCTAAGCATGTAGTGTTTGCCTAAGGTCTGAGTAGTTGGAAGAAAGCCGGTGGTGCTCAAACTATGACCTGGTACAAAGGTGCGAAAACCTTGAACCAACGAGTTCACCATACATGTCGACTAAGGCTTTCTGGTTGGGGACCTCAGGAACAAACAATGCGCTCAAATGTTATGAACAGTAACACCCGCGCGTCTAATCACTTTCTTCGCGCCCATGGTAGAACACCTTTGGGATAAGGATGCTTGTTATTTCGGTTCGTGACTACGAATCACAAAACTTTTGATACTTCCACAGTTGCATCAGATAAATTTGTTGTTCAGAATGCGCGGAACTGAAAAATTCGAATAGCAGCATAGCGTTGATTTATTTTTCTCTGTCACTGAATAAGATTCAGTAATTTTTAGTTTGTTTCATGAGAGAGGACACGTTCAGTCCGTATTTCCTTTGATTTGGCGACTAGACACTTCGTCCATGAGTTGATCAGAAAAATTTTAACCTTGAAAGTCATCGATTAGCGTTTGGTTTTATGGGCTATAAACCCATGGCACCAATTATACTATTCGGGATAGTGATAGTAACCGAGTAGCGCGAACTCAGATTCGCAATGACAAAAAACAGAATAGCGTAAAGTCAGGTAGAACCAAGACGAGCTTTGGGGACAATTAATTCGATTCAGAAAATAAAACAAACAAATATCACCAGAATCAATCAATCATCGGTCCATTAATCGATAGAAAGCCATACGGTCCATTTGGTCGTTTCCTTGCACCCAGAAAATCCAATTACTGCTACTTAAGAGCTCAAGATTGGTCGGGAACTCTGTCCCATGATTGGCCACGTGGAAACGACATCGTGATTCGGGCGTATTCGTTGCACGACTACTAAATTATTCACGACACCCTGTGATATATTTAATGAGTCCTAGAGACCATGAGGTTAGCTATTTCTGTTGCCTAATACTCCGTGTCTGTGTTGCTTCGTTTGATCGTTTGACGTAGTCACAAGTGTACCTTGAACTCGTTCGTCATTCACTGTAGTTTAATACATATGCTGATTAGTTGGGACGGTCCGCTCTAACTAAACTCCAGGTGAACGTAACTTGATTTGTTACTCGCAGAAAAAACTTCCAACGAAAAGCTAGAAAACGTCACATATTCATCCATTCGGGTCTCGGTGAACATTGTGAGCAGTGCACATCT